TGTATAAATGAAAAATGAACAAAATAAGAAATTAAGAGAATGAAGACTAAAATTGAAAACTGAAAAACAAAAAGGAAAATGTTACACATTATCTATTAGGATAGAAAAAAGAATAAGGCAAAATATCAAACGACCATTGGTAATAATTTAACCACTATAAGTTGTCACGTGTCACACTACATGAAAAAGGATATGGTGAAACATTTATGGAGACAATGAAAGTCTGGTTTTGGCCACCAAGTAATGTCGCATGCATCATATGCATGTTGTAGACACCAACTACTCATTAGTGCATGTTGAACACGCACCAAAAAATTTTATTATTAAAAAATCAAAAAAATATATAAAAATACTAAAATGTATCTCATGACTCTAGCAATTACACAAAATAATCATATGAAAGTATAAAAGTACTCCCAAATGCAAAGCTTATCTTTAGTTTTTTATTAAGTTAAAGATATACTTCCACTGTATGCATATATTTGCAAACCCTGAAAAACTCTTATTCAGTAGCCCAATAATTTTTTAACCATGGGCCAAGTAAGTATTTTTCATGTTAAGAAGCTTATGGAAAGTCAAGAAAGACGTTGATCAACATTTTTAAATTTTATTAACTTTAAAAGTAAAAGCATATTTTTATTGTGCTTAAAATTTTAAAAAGACATAAACACCCCCATAGAATCTTTTAATAGAATCTTTTAATAACCAATAGGCTAATAAAAGGAGTAAAACATCCCTGCCCTTAAGGCTTCGTCTTTTTCCACTCAATGGCAACATAGTAATTTTACTTTAGTAATCCATAATAATATACCTTGAGCTATAGTTAAACTCCTACAAGTTTAGAGTTTTTCTTAATAAACTCATTTGTGATCTTAAATTGGCATTGAATTGATTAAAAGAATGGAAAATCAACTTGATTTTCAAAAACTTCTTGAGTCCCGATCTACCTTTTCTAAAAAGATACATGTTGACATCAAGATTGATCCTTTTTTTTTACCAAAATCAAGCCAGCCGACAACTTTATTTCTCAACTCCTATTTTCTTATGACTTTCTCTCTCATCTCTCAAACCTAGGGACTAAAAATGAATAAAATGAAGTTTTTAGACCAAAAATAAAATTCTAAAAACTAAAAGGATTGAAAATGAATCTAAAAAAATAGATGGACCCAAGTGAACTTTTTCATAACAATTTCTTATTAACCACTTGGTTTCTCTATGTTCTATATTTTGGTCCTTTTTTTTGTAATTAAGTCTTTCTACAACAAATTATAAGAAATTTATCATTAGTTTAGACATTATGCAATACAAGAGGAAAAAAAAGTTCATGATCAAAACAAAAAAGATTAGCAATGCTCCAATCCACTATGAAATTTAAGAAAATACATAGTGTTTGTACAATAAATTTGCTATAGTGAAAAAACTATATGTTTTAGGTCTTATTAGATATGTGGCATCTGTTATGTTACAGTCTAAGTCAAATACTCAAACGATAATAGCATTCATAAACGAGCATGAAAAATCTAAAACCTTAGTCATTGATTCTAATGGGTTTAATGATTTTTGTTAAGTTAATAATATGACTAAAAAATCCAATGAAAATTAGTAAAAAAAATAAAAAATCAATGACTAGAAAAAAAAATGAACGTTTGACAATATAATAAAAAGATACCCTTTAAATATTTTTAAAATATCACAACAATCTTATTTAGAAACAAAGCAAAAATTGAATTGGAACGAGATAACCTCATAATAAGAAAATAAAAGAAATTTGAAGCTCAATTATCAATAAAGCAAACGTCGAAGAACAATCTAGAAAAAAAATCAATTTTAAAAAGGATAAAAAAAACATAACTCATGTCAAATTCATGATCTCGTCATGAGACTAGGAAAACCCCACCCATAAAAAATTTAATAAAACAATAAAGGTCAAGTCTCAAATAAACTAAATGAAAAAAAATGAAAAAATATCAATTTAAAAAACATTGAAAAAAAACACAAGTCAACCTATGTGAACTCGACTAACCCGTGACCCGGGATATGAAATTGGGATAAACCCACAATAAAAAAAAGTGGATAAAATTACAAAACTCAAGGCCTAATAATCTAATTTTAAATGATGAAATTGATAAAAAAAAAATTAATTGAAAAATATATTAAAAAAAAACCAAAGTTAAATTGGGCTAATCTTTAAAACTCATGACTCAAGTCATGATACCAGGACTATCTTATAGAAGACATACAAGAAAAAATCATAACATAAAATTCTTAATCATCCAAAATTTAAAACAAAAAGAAAAACAAAACAAAACAATGAGGACAAAATTTGGTATAAAAACTGAATGAAAAAAAGGGACTAGATTAAAAAATAAAAAAATAAAGACCAATAAAAAAAATAAAGACCAAATTAAATATAAAAATTAAATGAAATAAAATCATGAGTGATGAAATTGAAGAAAAATCAAGAAAATGATAAAAATAAAATAAAAAAAATAGCAATCAAAAGAATAAAAATCAAATTAAATCGAATGTCAATGGATAAAATTCAAATAAAAAACCTACTTCAAAAAAGCATTAAAACTAGAACAAATAGCAATTAAAAAAATGATGACCAAATTTAATACAATTACAAATTAACAGGGCATATTTGATTTTAAAAGTGTTGGCATGAAATCCGAGGTGAAGAGAGAGAGAATAGGGGGGAAGATTAATTGGATCCCTACCATTTCTCTATCATACACACACACTTGACTACGTGAAAAAGGATGTCATGACACTTCCAATATCGTCGCAAAATATAGCGTTTGACTATTAAGAGGTGTCAAATGCACCATCCAAAAACGCATGCATATCACGCACTAGCTATTTTTATTTTTTAATTATATTTATATTTATTAAAAGATTGAATTTCCACTCATTTAAATTGATTATAACTAAAAAAACCCATCATGAAAAGATAAAAATACCCATGGATGTCAGTTTTAATGTTTTTTTTTTTTTTACTTTGAATGGAAATTGGTAATTACATTTTGCAACCAAAGTGGTAAAAGACCAAAAAGCCCTTGAACACTACTTTTATTTTTTTTTCTTTTAAGGATATTTTAGTCATTTAATTGTGCATCAAAAATATAAAAAGACCAATTTATTTTTAATCAATATAATAATAACAAATGAACCATATGAAAAAGATTGTTTTGATCCTAATAAATAATTGAATGATTTTGTTTAGGAAAAGCAAAACTCATTTTTCATAGGGGACATGTTGGATTTCAAAGATACTCTAATACACTTTACTTTTTTAAAAGGTTTCTTGTTGAAATACCATAAAAAAAAAAAACAACATTTTAAAAGTTTATGATGATGAGAGAGCAATGTTAATGCACAAGTTAGAGAATGATGATGGTAAAGTAGCAATTACAAGTGATATATAGATTTCCAACTATTGAAAGAGAGGGTTCATGGTCATTATAACACACTCCATTAATGATAAATGGAAATTACAAAGTTGTATATTGAAGTGAATTTTATTTAATATATATTGGTAGTAGCTTTTGCAATTACTTATTATGTATATTTATTATTTTATTTTGATTTAGGTTTGTTTATGTATCATGCCCACACACAAAAAAAGTGTCAGCTAAAATTTTAGTTGATTGCTTGATGGATTGGTATATTAATACTAACTTATCAACTATTACATTAGATAATTGCTCAACTAATGATACATTGATATCTAATTTGAAAAATAAATTACAAGTTAGTTCATTTATATTGAATGGTGATTTTATTCATATAAAATGTTGTACTCATATTCTGAGCTTAATAGTGAAACTTGGGATGAAACTAATTAAGAGTGGGATTGAGAAAACTAAAGAGAGTGTACTTTATTCGACAGTTCCATCTAAAAAAAAAAGCAAAATTTTCAAGAAAATTCTTGTCATGTTTGTTCCTCTAACTAAAAGCTTTGTTCTTGATTGTTCAGCAAGGTGGAATTCAACATATTTGATATTTAGAATGCTTTGATTTATAAAGATGTATTTTCCCAATTTAAGCAACAAAAATCCAATATAATATTCTTTCAAGTGAATCTAATTGGAAGTTTGTAAGTTTAATTTGTGATCGGTAGAAGATATCTTATAAGGTCATATTATTATTTTTAAAAAATAAAATATCATACAATTAATCCATGGGATTCTTGTCATATACTTTTTCAAAATTTGTTTGATTAGATTAACATTACAAAATTAGGCTTTTTGTCATAACACTTTCTTTCAATCAAAGAGTATATAATTGATGTTTCAAATACAATTAGTTCGTCGAAGATTTAGACATGTAAAGAGTTTTTAACTTTTTCCACAATCTAGTAGATATAGTTTCCTTGACAACTTCTCTCAAAACTTTATCGGATAAATAAAATTGAATAGCATTATATAAACATTCTAAAAAATCTTTTTTTTCCTTGTCATCTATTTTCTTAGGCAAATTATCTACACTTTGTAATACCTTGAATAAACCTTGTTGAACTAGCAAGTCAGATATTTACATGTCATGGATTAAAGTCATTCTTACCATTAAACTTGTATGTATCAAACTTCATTGTTAATGTTATTTTTATTGTCATTGTGAAAGCCAACTAATAATTATACAAGTTTTGATACCAATTTGTTGCAAAAACAATCTTGAATATTAAACTAATTGGCAAGTAGAGAAATATAAATAAACCACAATACGTTGCACAATCAATCACAATAAATTTATATAGTTTGGTATTTTATGCCTACTTTATAGGAGAGATGTTCAAAGAAATTTATTATGAGAAAATAAAAGATAAAATAATGTCACACAAAATTATTATTTCATGAAGATCTCAAAATAACTCAAAAACTCATATTTTTTCTATTCTTTCTGGTTACCAAAGTGTAAAGAATAAAAATAGTAACAACAACTTTAAAATTTTATTTATGGACTCATTACATGAATATTTATTTTTTCATTTTAACCCATAATTAAAGACAAACATAACTTCTCATTTTATGGGTGTCCTTTTAAGAATTTTGTACAAATGGTTTGAGTATAAAGCTTTCATGTCTGGAATAATCATACAACTGCCTAGAAATAGACACAGGAAGTGCGACTCTATACGGCTGGATATTGTAGCATTAACTAGCCTTTCACCTTCCATCCCCAATGAGGTCACTGAGCCTTGGTTCAGTAATATTTAGTGGAGAGTGCATTTGATCACCTCGTGGAATAAGAACAATTGGATTGTGATTCTGGCTCTTGCTAGCCTCGGATGAAGTGGATGCTTGAGTATTTTCAGTCGAAAATGTGCCAGTTATATCCTTAAAATTCCAATCAGTCAAGTAGCTTGGCTTTGATGTAACAGCACTCACTTCAATATCTCCAGTAAGCATTGCTACAACTCTTGACATTGTTGGCCTCATAGCTGGTGAAGCTTGAGTGCACAAGAGAGCTACTCCTACAACTCGAAGAGCTTCATTTTCATCGAATTCTGTTACACTTGGATCCATCAGCTCTAAACTTCGCCCACTTTCATGCAATTTCCACGCCTAGAAACATTATACCGTCAATTCACTTTGAGAAGGACTGATTTCATTAACGAGGGTAAATAGGCAAGTAAAAAAAAAGTACAGAGTTTTTTTCTTTTACCCATTCGAGAAGATAGACCCTTTCAACATCCAAACTAGAATCAGAATTTGCTCTCCCACTCAGGATCTCCAGAGCAACCACACCAAAACCAAAAACATCAGCCTTCTCTGTCAGATGTCCACGCATTGCATACTCCGGTGCCAAATAGCCTCTACAAGAAAATTAATTTGCTTGGTGAGAAGGTTTATTGCAAGAATCCCTTCAAATAATCTCCATTGATTTTACATGTGGTTTCTGAACGCTGCGCTTTGGTATTGACTATAGCTTGGTTCATAATCAGCAAATTAAGAATGATTTAAGGACATGGTTGGAGGAGGTCTTACATGGTTCCTGCAACTCGAGTGCTGATGTGAGTTTTCTTGTCATCATAGAGTATTGCCAATCCAAAATCTGATATTTTGGGGAAGAGGTTTGCATCAAGCAAAATGTTACTGGCCTTGACATCTCTATGTACAATCCTTGGCCTTGACTCCTCATGGAGATAAGCTAATCCTCTAGCAGTTCCCAGGCATATATTGAGGCGGGTTGGCCAATCAAGATGCATGCCATCTTTTCCTGCATAATTAGGAGATGCAAGCTTAGTACATAATCCATTCCATTACCAAAATGAAGTCTGAAAACTGAACATGTATCTTATTGAAGTACAGTGAGTTGTCCAGCCAAGAAGCAAGCCTTTTCTATTCACATTCTTCAGCAACCAAAAGTAAATCCTGTCTATTTCGATCCTCTAGATGAGTGTAGAGAATCAAGTTTCTATGGCTACTTAGTAAGGGAAATATACAAGCATTTGGGCATCTTCATACCAAAGAGTGTCTTATCAAGGCTTTTGTTTTCGAGGTATTCATAAACAAGGAGGCGTCTATTTCCTTCAATGCAGCATCCATACAATTTCACAAGATTGCGATGTTGAACTGCCGATATGGTTGCGATCTCCGTCACAAATTGATTTGTTCCCTGGTTAGATGCTACTGAAAGTTTCTTTACAGCAACTTCTCTCCCATCAGAAAGCATACCCTAAAAAGTACCAGAATTTAGTAACGTAAAGCATAATTTGATTTGTTCCCATCAGAAAGCATACCTGGTCCTAGGTAAACAGAAAAATCTTGAACCTCTAGCTTATCTTGTTTATAACATGTAGAGTAATTGTCTTGCGTTTCTTACCTTGTACACAGGTCCATATCCTCCTTCCCCTAGCTTATTTGAAGGGCTGAAGTCTTCGGTGGCAGTCCTCAACTGGGAATAACTAAAAGTGTTTGGTCTAGGGCCCATCCCAAGCAACACTGCAGATTTAAGCAAGAAAAAATGAAGTCATTAGTTTAGGATACCTTTCTTTATATAACATAATTTGTACAGATCATGTTAACTTAATATATTCTTAATATATAAAGTTCTAGACAGGAAATGGTGAAGCATCCAAGCAGAGTTAACCTCCTCCAACGAAATTACACCCAGATTCAAGGCATAAAATCATTTTCTGTTTAAGGAAAATTTGAAGGTCCTTGGTTGTGTATCAGGATCAAGTACATCTTCACTCATTTGAGAGAGTTGAAGGCTTGAGGAGAGCTTCTGCTCATTATTGGAATCATCACACTTCACCAATTCCAGAATCGATGAGGTTTGGATTGGACAAACAATAATAAGTACAAGTTGTCTGATTATTGGATGGTCTTACCTTCCTCATCTTCGCTGTCTTTTTTCAACCTGATGTAAAGAAGTACAAATATCAGGATCAAGCTCACAACTCCAACAGAAATGGAAACACCAACAATCACCCCCGTCCTGCTCTTCTCTTTTCGAGTACTGGATGGTATCCCACTAACATTTGGTGTAAAATCTGTGCAGTAAATTCAGTTAGCAATAGCAGTGAGAACCAGAGAAGCACAATCTGAACATACTAAGTTTGATTAGTAAGTTAAGACATGTTACCTGGAACAACATTGAGGGCTGAAATGATTGGTCCATAGTAGCCTTGTACAGGGTTACAGCACGTACCCTTACCAGCCCAAAACAGGTGAATTTCAAGATGATTTTCTGACACAGTGACGTTAAAAGTCTTTGTAATTGCTCTGTCGACCCCACCTGCCTCCATTGATATGTCAAAGTCCTTCAATTGGCGGTTTCCCTAAGAAACATATGAACACAGAAAATGGAATTTTAATTATAGAAATTTGTACAACATGCATTTGGTTTTAAAACTTTTTTACCTGAATATAGATATCAAAAACACGTCGTGCTAAACTATCCCAGGTTTGTGAGCTTCGAGCTGCAAATCTAGTTTCTGCAAATAACAGATTTATAGTGTAAGGCCCATTCTGGAGACCTAGGCCATAGTACCTAAGTGAACCAGGAGATATCCTTGAAGTCTGATAGAGCTCTGGGGTGTTGGTGCCGGTAACTTGTTTCAAGTTATTTTCAACATAACTAGGATTTTCTCTATCAGCGTACAAGCCTGCATTGCTCACCGCCCATTTCTCAGTGCTAGTTACAGTGAATGATGCTGCACTGATAGATGAATTTTCAGCTTCATAAACTGTGCCGTCAGCAGTTTTCATCATTCGACCACCACAGTTGATTGAGAAATTTGCATCTGCAACAGATGACAGGATAGAACTGAAATCAATTATTCTCTTCCAAATTGTTGAAGCATGAAGCCATTGTCACCTTTATATGAAACTAATTCCTGGAAGTCTAGACATGCTAGACAAAACTAGGATGATTACTGGCAGGGTCTAGGAAGGCGCATTTCATATTGAATCAGACAATGAGAAGTTCTAGTAGGAACTAAATTGCTGGATGAAGAAGCTTACAGAGTGGAGGATTCCGATTGCATGGGAAATTTCTCTGTAGACAGTTCAATCCTGGCAGAACACTACATGGGAAAACATTTATTGCTTATCAGAATTGGAAACTAAGAAAGGAGGACCGGTTACAAACAAATACAGGATCCATATTGCACCAGTTTTGCTTGATGTGCACCCTATTAATTATAAGGGCTTTGAAAATACATATCACTTCACCTTATATTCGAGCTGTCAAAAGTGAAGTTGTTGGCCACTAAATTCCTGCATAGTTTCACAAAGGTTACTGAAAAAATATGTGCTGTAAAACACAGCAAAGATTCATGATGACAGAATAAGGCGATATTGATTTCTAAGAGGTAGTTCATGTATTTGGTGTTCAAAACGTAGTGTTAAACTCAGAAAACAAAGATGCGTGAAGAAAGCGTCATGGTTTGGGACACATACAATTGTATATTTGAGGTTACCCATGAAGGAAAAGTCCCTGACAGATAATTGTAAGACAAATCTCTGCAAAAATTATTATATAAGCGGGGGTTAGTAGGCGCATGGTAACAAATGAGTTGGGATAAAATTAGATTCTGACTTAATTGAGATACAAAAAAGAAGGAAATAAAGATCAAAAGGGTTTCAGGATATAGTCCAATAAAATAATGGTGTCACGATATGATCTAACATTGCTTCAGAAGCTGTCATGTAATCGCTGCTTGGGCAGTGCCACCAGTTTCAATGTATAATATTCTTTGGTACGAGGACTTACATTGTCTGAAGTGTACTGCTCTTCTGGTTAGGAAGGGTTCCGATTAGACTATTGTTTCCAAGAAACCTGGCCATTGCAATATATGGGAAGAGAATAGAAAGAGAAAGTAACAAAGTGAAGAGTTCAGCAAGAGTGTCAGAACCGAAAAAAAATGATCAAAGCACTTCTAAGTTCTAAAGGTTTAGTGATATTTACAAGTATTGAAGAGAACTCATAGTGAATAAAGCACTTGGAACTTGGCCTGTTAAATTGTTGAAACTTAAATCCCTGAAAAATTGATGAAAAAATTACGTAAGAAACATACAGGTGCAAGTAGATTTCAAGGATGGCTTTGGCCTTTTAAGCTAAATGTATCAAGAACTTACAGTCTATCTAGAGTCTGGAATATTTCTCCAATATCAGATGGAATACTACCACTAATCAATGCATTCCTCAGAGTCCTTCGGAGAAGATAATCGAGAAATTAGTGCAAATTTGGATGCATATAAAAATAATGGATAGACTAATCAACTACTTACAAGTCGGTCAAGCTCTTCAAGTTCTTGATAAAATCAAGAGTAGAGCTCACATTGCTTAAATCGCTGATTCGCCTGTACAGTTATGTGCATTTACACATTACTGAAAATAATTTTCTTTTGCATGTAGACAAACATATGAAAGACAGAGAGTTGTAAAAAAAAAAAAAAACTCACAGAGAGCTCAGTGAGGTCAAGTTGGAGAAACTGGATGGTATAGGACCTTCAAAAGAATTCCCTTGAAATCTCCTGTAGCAACATCCCATAAACCAATCAAACAAATCATTCTTCCCTGTAGGTGTAAACATACTACTGCTGTGTCTAACAAATGCAAATATCAGAAGATTTTATGGCTTACAATGATGTCAGCCCTGTCCAGTTGCCAATAAAGTCAGGTATGTTGCCTGTGAAAGCAGCATCTGAAGCCGTACTGAAGATAAACAAGCCAAGCGAAGGTGAGCATTGCTGGGGTACGGTAACCTTGGATTTGAAGATGAACAAACTGCTATAAACTTATAGAATGTGATTTCCTTACAAGATTCTCATTCTTCGAAGGTTAACAAATGTTGAGGGAATTTCACCACCCAATCCACAACTATTCACATAACTGCAAAACAAACAGATATCAAAATCTTGTATTTAACTACATATGGTACAAATACTTACAGAAAGGAGGTCTTTGGTTACATTACAGGGAAAAGGTGCTACAACTTACAGTTCCTCAAGATTGACAAGTTGACCCAGTTCTGGGGGGAGTGTTCCCGAGAAATTATTTATACCAATAGACCTGTTGATCATGTAACAAATAAGGCTTTTTTAGAAGATTATCATCCAAATACGATTGCCTATGTGCTTAAAACCTGTACAATACTTCATCTCGTAATCTGTCCATAAATTAAGACCAAAATGAGGATATATGCTGATAATTTATTCCACGAAGTAAAATTTGATTGAAAAGCAAATCCTACAGCAAAGTTAGCTCCTTGAGATTTCCAAGCTCCGTAGGAATGGTCCCAGAAAACGCATTATGCGCAATTGACCTAGTCACATAAAAAAAAGTAAGGTCAATGAGCTGTCGAGGTTCAATTTTTTTTCTTTTTATGTAACAGAAGTGTGTCAGATGTAATAAAATGTTCTGGAAAGAACTTCTTTACTTACAAACTCTGCAATGCAGTTAAATTTCCAATAAATGCAGGCAATGGACCAGTGAAGTAATTTTGATCAATTTTCCTGCAAAATTCCTTCAACTATATAAGCTAGAAGCATAGAGTCTTTCAACAAAAACTTAATAATTTGGGTGTTTCCTTACAGAAGGGTAAGATACTTCAATGCCGTAATTACTTCTGGAATCTCCCCTCTTTTGTTCAAAGCATACACTCTCCTGAAAATAGTTCAAAATTTATACGTAGACTAAAACACAGACCAAACAAATGCCAACTGCCCTAAAATTTATGAGGGCTCATGCGAAAAATCGAAATTCTTTAGAGAGAGAGAGAGATACAGTTGAGTAATGTGACATGTAGCACTATTATTGTAGGTACAGTCACATTTGATGGCAGGGTTGTTGGCAGGGTCTTCAAAACCGGTGTCGTTAACGGCAGATCCACTGCATGGCTCTCCACTCAAGTTCCATAATCCCACAGCTTTTGTGTCCCATTGTTCAAATAATGAGTTCAATGCACTCACTGTCTCACCATCACAAAACAACGTTGTAATTAGTTTTAACTAAGGCTGTTTTAAAAAATAAAAAACCAAAAAATTGATTAAATCAAGATAACAAAAAATAAATAACCGAAAAAACTAGAGAAAAAAATCAAATGAAGCAATTAAAAAATCTTTTGGTGCGGTTTGGTTTTAGTTTTGATTTTAAAAATTTAAAACTGATTAAATTGAACCGGTTCAATTTAAACCCTGAACCAGGTATAAAATGTTTATTTTTCTCTTCGAAACCTGATGCCACTAATTTCCTTTCCTCCCCCAGCCACCCCACCCTCCTTCTCTATCTCCATAGTTTGTCGACTCTGCTCACCTCTCTCTCAAACTCTCTCACAGCCCTCTCCCCCTCCCTCTTCTCTCTATTTCTGGTCTCTTAGTTTGGTGCGGTTGGAATGGGAAAATATTGAATTCTCTAATGTATGATCATTAATACATCATCATGTTAATATTTAAAAAAATATATCATCTAATATTTATATTTTAAGATCATTATTATTTTTTATTAAAAATATATTAAAAAAGTTTTAATATTTTTTTTACACAAGCCATTTATCTTCTAGTAGGACCCTAATCTAGAAGAGAGCTGAAAAGGAGGGGAAGAGATTGGAAAAATAAATTGAAATGGCATCTGTGTATTTGTATTGTGTATTAAATTGACGTTGTATCAAAATTCGACTTCAAAAGGCTCAAGAGATTGAAGAACAAGTATTGCAAAAATGGTATGTAACGACGGTGACATGAAGGGATTCATCACTCTACCACCCAATGACATAGTTTTTATTTTCTGATGATCATTCCTAATCACTATGCCTTGAAACAGAGACAAAATGCCCATCAATGAATTGAACATAACATTTTAGCTCTGCTCTCAAGGCCTGCCAAAATTAAGTTACGCCAGGATACCTGGACCTTTCTGGCTTGCAGCCCACAGTAAGAAGTTGTTTATAATATATATTTTTTCTTCCTTTTTTTTTGTTTGGTTTAGGAAAAAAAAAAAAAAGCAAACAATGATTTTCATTACGATACCAATCATCTACAGTTCCATTCTAAGTCATTTAATCAATTTTTTATAATTAAAAATTTAATAATTTGTTAATACTGATATTGGTATTCATATTCTTGGTTAATAAAAAAATAGAGATTCTTTATTTTTATTCATTTTTAAAAAATTTGCGTCATCATTTCCACACGTGAATTATCTACCAAGATATCAACTAGAGTTACTTTTATTAAAAAATTTAAAATATTAAAACTATATCATTTTAATCATAAAAAAATAGTCTAGTGCATGACCAAAACTATAACCTTTTAACAAAAGAAAAAAAAAAGAAAACGATAAGGTTTTTTATCTAGTTCTGCTGCATAACCAAATCACTTGTAAACTCTTATTTTTAATTGGATCAAACTAGACCTAGGTCCCATGTTGATTTCCAATTCAATCCACCAAGTTGGTTTGGTTTGGATTTTATAGAGACATACATAGAGTGAAAATCTTTAAGTACATATCACTTTATCTTAAGTTATCTAAACGAATCTTTGAAAAAAATCAAGGGCTACGGAACATATGTAATTACTTACCCCACTTACAGTTTGATTAACGGGTTTATTAAGAAATTGATCAAACTTTTGAATCGCCATAGCAAAAGTTGATGTAGAAAAGTCAATTACTTACATTCAAGAGTTTGATTATCAAAAAAACATATGTATTAGTTGACTGTTTGCATGGATTATATGAAAATTCCGAGGTAATGATTGTAAGAAGAGAAAAAACCTCCAAGGTGATGGAAATTAGAGTCGAGGATTTCTAATTTCAAAAATAATAATGTGCGCTTCAAGTGGGCATTGATTGTGGCCCCTACAAACACCCAGCTAAGCCATCGGTATGGACATGAGTGAAAAAAATATCATATTTTTTTCGCTACCAAATTTGTAGTGGGGCGGCTGAGGGTGTTCTTTATATATAATATTTATTTTTTATTTTTTAAAATTTATTTTTAATACCATATGATATAAAAATAATAATAAAAATACCAAACTGTTATTTAGCTACTTTTGTGTAATCATAAAATGTGAAAAACAAAAACATCATCAAATACATAGGTAGCATTTCTTTAGTTTTAATCTCCTACTAAAAATCCAATTCTAATCGCCATGAACTATGGATAAAGACAGACCAAGAAAGAAAAGTAAGAGTTTCCGTCAGATCTTATTTCTGTCACCCACCCTTATAGCTAAAACCAATGAAACCCCGTATACGTGAAGATTGCAAGGGTAAAAAGAAAAGAAAGAAGATGCAAGAAAGATGGATATGGAAGCAAATTCACATGGTTTATTTTGGAACCATTTGCCCCTCATGAGGATTATTTAACTTGTACTGCAGAATTCGGGAGATCTGAGAGAGATACGTACCTTCAGATGGATCAGTAGTGGCGTTTTGAGCGGTGGACAAGTGAAATATTGAAAGAAGAATGAACAAGTGAAGACAGCAAGAGTAGACAGCGAAGACTGGAGAATGGAGCAGCTTTACACTCCATCCCATCTCTCTCTCTCTCTCTGTGGGAAAAGGAATGCCTCCCTTTAGAATTTAGAGCTCTGGTTGAAATGAAAGGCTTGTCTTCAAATACACTGAAAAAATAGACAGAGAGCAATAGGAGTGAATAACCCGTTTGTTTGCTGCGTACACGTTGGAAGGCAGTTTTTTTTTTTTTTAAATAAATTATTTTTTTTTTGATAGTGTTATTAAAAATAAGTTTTAATATTTAGTTATATTATAAAAAATAAGTTGAAAAATAATTTATTAATATTTATTTAAATTTTTTAAAATAAAAAAATAAACGTTACAAATTAAAAGATTAAATGAGAATAAAATTTTAAAAATCTAATTTTATAAATTATTTTAAATAAAATAAATAAAAATAAAATATAAAAAATAAAAAATTAACAGATGATAAAGTTAAAATAATTATAATTATAATTTTATAAATTATTACAAATAAAATAAGTAACAATTAAAAAATAATAATAATTAAAATAATGATAATTAAATTTGATAGGTAAAAAATTATAATTAAAAAATAATAAGAGAAAAACAAATAACAATTATAAAAATAAAAAATATAGTTAATATAAAAATTAAATTAAATTAAATTTTAAGAGATGAAATTAAAAAAATATATAGTAATTAAAAATTTAAGGATTAAATTTGATATAACCAGTAAATAATATGATATTTTTAAATTTTTTATAATTTTTATAAATTATTTTTTGTTTAAAATAAAAAGGAAATACTTTTTTAAAAATAAAGCAAAAATTTTTTATCGAAAATTTTTTTATTAATTAATTTTTATATAATAAATAAAATTTAAAAAAAAATCCATGAAACAGTAAAACTCTGTGTGGTCTGGTTCTACGTAATTGACGCACTGTTCTCAATTTTGGTTTTAGTTGGTGAGGCCATTTCCTTCTTTTTCCGTCTTGCGAAGTTACAACCGTTAAAAAAAATACTCGCAACTTTTTCACCATTTCAAGCCCAAGATGGTCATAATTAACCTGAAGGGTCAACTCCATCTCACTTCCCATCCAACACAAACTCCAGGGATTCATCGAACATGTTACCTATCAGTGAAATGGTCGAAAATATCAAATATTTTGAATTACATTTATTAGTCTTTTTTTCTTTATGCAGAACTGTATCTTTGTGTGAAAGCTTAGCTATAGCAGATTCAAGTAGTTTTTTTAAAAAAATTATTTTTAATATTAATATATGAAAATTATTCAAAGAAAATAATTACAAAAATTAAAGTTTTATAAAATTCTGATTGCATCGCTCGTGACCCCTAGATAATTAGTTCACGAATCAGCATTCGCAGACGCTCTAATTTGGCTGCTTAGACTTCGTAAACTTCAACCGTACAGTACGAAGACCGCCGCTCGTTTTCCCACCTAATAAACGAAGAAGCACCTGCAGGCGCTCAAATTTGAAAAGTATTTCTGGGACAGTTTTCTTTAAGGAAGCTGCTTTTAAATTTGATTTTTAGTCAAACTTAAACTTAAGAAAAAAATGAGTTTGATTAAATACCAACCTTTAGGTATGCGAAAGAAAAGGAAAAAAATGCAGAAGGAATAATATTAATCTTCATTCAAGAAATTAGTAATAGCAGTACAACAAACAGTTAAGTAATTTCATTCTCTTCTTCTTACTTTTAATTTTTTTTTTTATAACAAGTGTATGCAAGTAGCTCGTGCATGCTTCCAAAGAAAAATATATTAGTTGGATTATTAGTTTGAACTAGTAACCGGGCTAATCTGTCTAGGTCTAGCTCAGCCTGTATGGTTGGGCTAAATCCAATCTAAAACGAAAAAACAAAGAGTGGGTCGGTCTGGGCTTTAGGTCCAATCTATCTAAATTGTGTTTATTAAGAGTGTACTAGGCAAAACACAACATTATGTCTTGATCATAATTTTTATATCTGTTCTAATTTGATATTTAACTAAACAAACCCATTTTCGATAACATAAAATTTCAAAAATATCGTTATGTCTTGATCATAATTTTTATATTTGTTTTAATTTGATATTTAACTAAACAAATCCCTTTTCGATAACATAAAATTTCAAAAATGTTTTCGGGCTTTTGTTGATTTATTTATGGACCCCTCACACTTTATTTTATTTTATTTTTGTGTTTGTATTTTTTTGTAAATGTACTCAATCTGTGAACTATTACTGTTAAAAGAAAATATATCGTGCAATGTTTTCTTTTACTTCCATCTAAAATGACCAAATAATAATAAAGGATAAACAAGAAAAAATAACATAGAAAATTTCTTTTTAAAATTTCTTTTTTATGAAAATATTTACTGATATCAGAGTTAAGAGTATTATATTTTTTGGATTTGTGCGATATTTATTAACACCAGAATTGAAAATATTTGTAGGAATTATTTACTAACGCCAGAGTCAAGAACATGAAAAGAAGAATAAACACCAGAGTCAAAAACATGAAAAGAAGAATAAAAAAATAAGAACAAATTCTTAATAATTTTAAACAAAACCAGCAATTCAGTTTGTCTTAGATAGGATGGTTGAGTGATAGCATCTTCTTTTTTATATAACCAATCTCGTACTATAGAATTTCTATTGACAAGTTAGGGTTTCAAATAACTAACGACTTTTTAAATTAAATATTTTTCTCAAAAAAAAAAAATAGTAGATATTTATTTTTTTAATCAAGTAAGATTAATTTTTAATTGATCTATGTAATGTTCGGGTATAACATGAAAAATGCATATCTTGGGGCCAATCTATAAGGTCAGATCACTTTTGCCTCAAGATGATGCATCAATAATCCAAAGATGACCATTAGCTTGACGGGCTAAGCAAGGAAGAGTTCGTTTTTTTAGGGTTGAAAATACTATTTATTTTAAAATATATTAAATAATATTTTTTAGGCTTTTTAAATAAATTTAATATATTAATGTTAAAATAATAAAATCTAGAAATGTTATTTTAAGGCGCACATAAATAGTGTTAGTGCGGGTTTGATATTGTAAAACACTTTCAATTGTGATTTTTAAAAACATAAGTTTTAAAAAATATGATCTATTAAAAAAGTTGTAAAATAAATTTTTATATGTAAAATAAATAAAATACAGTTTTACATGAATGAAAAACAAACTATTTTTACTTTTATAAAATCTTATATGCGAAATCTATTATAAAAAAAACAAAAAATATTGAACACAAACCACTTCGTAACTTAGGTTTTAGCATTGCTTCATTAACTCTACGGAATAGAAAAGGGGCTGTGTTAGTATCTCAAATGATACAAAAAGCATATAAATGATAAAGGTGGGGGGAAGAAAACCAAAAGGACTAATGGTAGCCAGTGAATATTGACCATAAATGAATGAATGTGTCGAAATCTTACAATCAACAAAAAAATTCTGTGTTAGCATGCCTCAGTCATAATCCTCGGCATAGTGATAATCATCCTCTTCATTTTCAAAATACACATCATTGGAGTAGTCATTGTTGCCGGCATCAGTCTCTCCATAATCATGTTCGTGCTCGTCATTTTCTTCACTAGCACCAGAAATGTGTCCTTCAGGGATGGAGTTCTCGTCCACCTGCTGTGAATCAGCATAACTGGCATTAGAGCGTTTGCTGTCTTCAACCTTTCCAGGAACCTCCTCCTGTGATCATACGGCATATATTAACTTATGACCATTAGGAATAGAATCTTTGAAGAAAATAAAAGCACTGAAAGTATGAAAAAGTGGAAATAATTCAAACCAAGCATTGATGGTAACAAAAAAAGAAACCCACCAATGTCACAATCATACAGTGCAGATGAATAACATGTTTCTATTGTTTGCATGACAGGTGCAGGTTCAATTTGCAGAGAGTATTAAGTCAGCTTTCTCCTTTAGAAGGTGGTTATTTAACTCAACATGTCTTAGGGTTCAATTACTTAATATCACTTCTGTATTATTTTTGTGAATAGAAATGTCAATTATACTAATAAAATGATCCAAATGAAGTGCTCCTGCAAGGTTTAATGAAATTTTGTAACGGATAATAAGTTGATAACAACTAGCTCTATGTCACCGCGCCCTGTGTTAAGTTTTTCAAGATATACAGAGAGAGCAGCTTCCTTTTTTTTCTTTGATCTTATTTTTTTTCTTTTCTTCCGAGGAAACATAAAGTGGGGAAATTCATCCAGGAAAAAAAAAATATATAGGGATGTAGAGAAACGTACAGGCTCATCATCCAATAGCTTCTTCAAGACATCATAGTTGATTTTCGAACTCGATCTCTGGAAAGAACAGACAAAACAAAACGTTAGCATCCAAAACACAAGAAGTTACTAAGAAGGCCACAAATTCTCAAGATTTAACATTAAAGCTGCTGGGAAAAAAACTTGAAAACGTGAAAACCATAAAGTTTTCATATCGATTCTGACTTGTAGAAAAACCTAATAAGCATAAAATGCTTATTTTGAATAATTGTGGGGGGAAAAACAGAAGAAACATGATTGCATTGAGGATAAAACTGGAAGATAGCAGAATTAAAATAGATACCCCGAGAGTAATTCATCAGCGCTTCGTTCGCATCGTACCAATTTTTTTTAACCATGAGAAAAAAGTGCATGCATTGTTAGCAACATATTTTCTATTTACTTTCATGAACTCAAAATTTAATTTTATGTATATAATTTTTTTCTTTTTTCAAATAACAAGAGAATGACATCTTATCTGGATCAACTTGAACTTATTTATCCGGCGATTTGAGTTATTTCAAATAATTTTTATTTAATTACATAACAATAAAAAAAAATTAGCTATTTGAAAAAAAATAGCATAAAATTTAAAAAAAAAACAATGGTGGGTTGTAAAAAGCACTTGTTAAAAGATTGTTATACTCTTATTCAAAATCAAAGAAAGAATTGAATGATATTTAATAAAATACATTTAAAATATATTCTTATTTAATTTAAGAATTTAATAAATTAATATTTTAATAATATTTTAAATTAATTAATTTTAAAAAATATATAATTTTAAATTAATGAAAAGCCAAACAAAAAATAAATAAAAACATATCAAGCAGGAAAGCATGGTATAAATTAAAAAGCCAACGTGCACCTGGGCTAGAAGCCTAGGCCTGTAGGCCTATGCTTGAACTGTTTTTATTTTTATGTTTGGAATGAATAACCCGTCATCTATTTTTTTTTTTATAGGTAATGAGTTATTTCTTTTTACTAGACTCCAGTCATAAAAAAAATAAAATCTAACGTGTAAGTTTTTCATTAAAAAAAATTTTCAAACTATTTTTACCAAAAATATAATCTTAAATCACCATTAAAACCAGTATAAACCACCCAACAACCTCAAAATAACTTTAAAAAATAAAAAATAACAAAATCCAAAAAATCAAAACCAGACCGATATGTCTACTCGCTGTCTTTAGAAAGAAAAATCATCACCACCAAACCTTCTCCTAGAGAATCATTATTATCTTTTAATTTAGTATTTTTACTATGATTTTGAATCTACTTTCATCTAATTGGACAGAAAGAGGATTTAATTGGGAAAAAAAAGACAAAAAAAAGCTGTGTGCTTCACTGTTAATACGAATACTGATGCACCATGTGAATGTCCAGATTTTTTAGTTTTTTTAAGTTAATTCATCTTTCCACCAAGTGTTTATTCTTACCTTCTTATTCTGTGTCTGGCCAGCAATTTTAATGGCTTTCTTAGAAGGTGTTCTTTTCTTTACCTTTCTAGCTCCTTTCAGTTGTTTCCCCTGCCAATAAAGCCCCAAGATAGAGAATATCAAAAACTGAAGCTGGTAGCAACACAAGAATAGTGGTAAGCCAGGCATTCCTTTGATAGAAACAATATATCTTCAACAGCTTCTAAAATGGACGTGAGCCAAGATATCTACAGATTGGATAACTTGAAATGGCAGAATTCACAGGGAAGACATTACCTTCAAATATTTCTTGTTCATCATTTCCCAAAGGGTTCTTTTGAATTCCATCTCTTTCTCATTGTGAACAAGGTATCCAGCAATCTACGAACCATTTGGAACTTGGTCAACATCCAAAGTTGAGCATGACATTAGAGGGAAAAAAATCTACAATTTTAATTTATGACAGAGCTTGGTGAAAGAACTTGATATACATGTCTTTATAGGTAGGGGAAAGCAACATCAAATGGAAGTTGGATCGTTTGTATGTTAGGGATACAAGACCTAAGTAAACGAGGCATTCAAGCCAGAGGTATAGCTTTTCATATTGGCAGTTTTCTACATTGGCATAAGCTGGGTGGGCTTACAAGGGACGCATCAAAGAAAACAATAATTTTGTAACATTAAAGTTCTTTCAATCAGGTGGCACATCCAAGTTCCTTTATGGGAATTAAACCAGCCTCATTACCCTTTTGTTTACATCATTCGGAAGATTGAACTCCTATAGCAATTTTAAAAAATGAAATATTGCATACCTCGGCATCATCGATGTCACTAAGATCTTCTGAGTCATTAGGAGCTGCAGTACTCCTCGATTGATTTCTCTGTAACCAATTAGAGGCATTCTCCACATTTAGGTGGAAAACAGAAGCCACTGAACCATTGGAACAACATTTGATCAATATAGATCCAAAAAAGCTGAATTTCCACCTTTCAGAACAAATAAATAAAAAGGCTTCCCTTACCTTTACTTCTTTTAAACTTCCCAGTTCTCTTAGACTGTCCCAATGCTGAGGCTCCACCTTCGATGGAATTTAGACGCATATTGGAAGAAGATTTTACTTCTTTCTCCATCTAAAAAACCTGAGAAACCATAATAAGACGTTGTATAACGCACATTCCTCCATCCTATTCTGCACAAACCAAGTTAACTATACAGAACAATTTCACCATTTTGCAGAAAAAACAGATAAACCAACAAAAATAGTCTTAATGCAACAACTTGACAGCTAAATAAAATCCTCATTAACACATGTTCAAAAATTTCATCATGTAATAGAAACCAAAGCTAGGAGGACCGTCATTCGTCCACGAAATAAAAACATATGCAAGTAATGTGGATTTTTACACCTATCTCACCAGAAGAAGGAGGATTATCACCCCTCATTTTCCACCGAAATTGTACTAAAATCTTATAAAAGCCAGAGTAACAAAATAGCAATTTAAAAGCAAATGAAAAATGTCTAACAGGAAAACTGCCCATGAGGCAATAATTACATTACAAATAAATTTATGATTCATCAATAAGCAGGGGGTTTAAATGGGCACATTGACTTGTATGTGGAGACAAAATACAAAGACAGACGCAACTTTTGGGAAACGCGTGTGAGATCCACAAGCACAAGCACATGGATTAAAGTGAAATCTGAACAGAACGACATCTTTTTTCATTTAACCCGAAATCAACACTGTATATAGCAATCACAACCTCACTCAAAAAATAAAATAAACAAATTATTCCATTCTACTTTATCACTTATGTTCTTTCATTAGATGATGATGATGATGATTGTTATTGTTATTGCTATTATTATTATTTACCAGAAACCAATCAAGAAATTGAAAAAATCATCTCACGAAAAACAGCAGCATAGATAAAATCAATCAATAATGACAACCAAAACAAAGATTGTACAAACAAAATTATTAAATGAAAAGGGAGGAGAAGAAGAAGAAGAAAACAGGGCATACCGTTAGAGAGCATGGGAGAGATGGGTTCTGGAAGAGAAAAAAAGGGGGGGGGCAGGAAGAGAAACGGACAGCAGAGATCGTTAAAAGACGATGAATCTCAGGTCTTGGAAGCGTTTTCAAAATTTGCGAGTTGTTGCGCGGCTACTTTTATTCTTAAGCCAAGTGAGTCGGTTTGCTTGCCGCTTGTCGCTTGTGTTCGATAAGGGTTCTGTGGATGGGTTTTCATTGGAAAGAATCAAGCCCGTCAAATAAAACTACTCGGCCCAGATAAATGGAGTGGATCGAATTAGAAAACCGCCTCCAAGTCTGCCCACCCCAAAAAAAAAAATTTGATTAAATCCTTCAATCTAATTTGTAGATCCAGTACTTTGTCATTTGCTATAAATTATATTATTAACTATTAACTATAAATCTAAAATTCGTGAGGAGTTTATTATGTAAAATGCATTGTGATCCTTTCTTGTGGTATTGTTGACGAATTGTGCATAATATTTTTTTTATTGGTTTTTCTTTCTTTTTTTAGCCCTTGTTAAACCAAATTGTAGGTCATTTGTTGAGAAAGGATGGGATTTAAAAATAAAGAACTAAAGTAAAAAATACAGAGAAAATGGATGACTTTAACAAATTTTTGGCAAAATATTTATTGTGATTCCTATACTTTTCAAAATTTAAGGATAAAATTAATTTTCATCACAAATTTCAGTTTTTTTTGTAGTTTGAGAGAGACAAAAGAAAGTCAATGAAATCTAGTATTAGAAAAAGTAAATTTTTATTAACACCAATTCTAATCATAAAAAATATTCAAATATTGGTATAAATTTGTTTATTTTCAATTGATCATTTGATGAGGGGAATTAATATTAAGTTTTTCAATTATTCATTTGATGAGGGGAATTAATGTTAAGTTTTTCTTCATCTTGAAATTACATAAAAAACATATATGAGCTTAACAAAAAAATTTATTTCAAGCTTTGAGATGGTTTTTTAAGGTTTTTTCAATTAAAAAAGGATTGAAAATTATATTTATTAGTTGAAAAAACTTTTTCCTCGATTTCCAACCACTATTGTGGACGGAATTGAGCTATATCAAACAACATGTTATTTTTTTTTATAAACAATGTATCATTTAACTAATTAAAAAAATATAATAAATAACATGTCATTCATTAAAAATAAAAAACATTAAGAACCCAAGCACGCACGTCTCTTCTAAAAGGCTAACATATGAGCCCTTACTAGATGATTTATGCAAGTTGTTAAACTTAACAATACTTGATTTTTTAAAAAAAAATAATTAATTAAAAATAATTTTGAAATTTATATTTATATCAATATACATTCTCTCTTTTATTTTATTTTTTTAGCTTCTCTTAAATAGCCTATTTTTAAATTATTTTGTATACATTTATTTTTTTTATATTTTTTATAATTCATCAATATTTTTTTTGCATAAATGAAATTTATTTTAAGAAAATTAAAACATTTCTTTTTGGATAATATTTTTAATATGTGTAATTTTGTATGATATTTTTTTTATTTAATTAATTTTATATGTATCTATTTTCATTATCATTTAATTAAATAAAAAATTAATATTTATAAATAATGTTATTAAATTCAACCGTATTAAAAATTTGAGTTGTAAAGTTAAATATCATGATTTAATTTTTAATTTAATTTTTAATTATTATTAATAACTTTTTACTTATTTAATATATGATTATGTTTCATGATTTAAAAAAGAGAGAGAGATATTAATCACAATCTGATTTCCATTTTACATTGAAATTGATTGCCTATAGGGGTGTGTAAAAAAATTAGAAAACCAAAACTATGGGGGTGTGTAAAAAAATTAGAAAACCAAATAAACATAAAAATTAATAAAATTAATAAAAAAAATTAAACCAAGAAAAAAATTGATTAAAATAATTAGAAAAAATCCTAATTCAATTCGATGTGAATTTTATAATATAAGAACTAGTTAACCTAAACTGAACCAAATCAGTTCAAAAAAAGTACTATAAATAGAAAATTTTATACTAATCCTAGCCACCAGCAGCCCCCTCTCGCCTAGAGGATCTTGCTAGGCTTAGGTGCGAGAGAATGTTGATCTTTATAGCTGAAAAGGACTATTTGACTATTGTAACTAAGAATTATTATGAGAAGTTGAAAAGGAGTGGATGGAAGGGAACTGTTGAACGTGTCGAGAATGAAAAGAAAGATCACTGCTTCCATTTGCTTCTAGGTATTTTTTAAAATGCAGGGAAGATAAGATTTATCTGTATAAGAAGATTTGGGGTTTTGATTTTAAAAAATCGAGTTTGGATTTTTGGCATTTGAGTATTTGAAAAATATGAAAAAAAACAAGTTTATTTTGCAAGAAATTTAGAGTTTTGATTATAGAGAGTTTTGAATTTGAAATGTTGATTTTATTTTTATTTTTTAATTGAAATCAATAGTATTGATTTTTAGCTTTTAGTTGTTTGCAGTTTTCATAATGCAGGGAAAACAATATTTGTGAAAAGGCTACCGGTGAATTCAAGAAAGAATGTGAGCGCATAGGTATTTTTGGTTTTTTAAAATTAAAAATTGAACCGCATCGAAATTAATTGGTTTGATTTTAGTTTTTTATCAAACAATCAAATTGATTTAAAAAAAAAAAACTAATTTGGTTATTTTTTAGAGATAAAAACCAAATTAAATAAAAAATAATCACTTCTAATTATCCATGTCAAATCTAATAAATAGATTAATTGAAAAATATTTTATTATTGTCCTCAATGGAGTTAACTTAACAATCACATGTTGTTATTGAATAAACAGCTAACACAAGGAAGATTCTAAATAACTAGAACAAAAAAAATAAGGTTTTTTTTTTTAGTTTATGATTCATTGGCGATACTTTCTTCAACATCTTAGAACACTAAATCCTAGTATTTCAATGATAAGAACCTTTTGGTGCACTCTTTCACGAAATCCTGGTCTGTGTCTGATCCATAATTAGAGGCGCTTAGCATCATGTTCCTAAAAACCTTCCTTTTCTTTTACACATGCATAAAAAAATATGGACATTCGTTCCAAACCTCAAATATCAAGGCCTCAAAGGGTTAAACTGCTAGCATCCATTTATCCAACGAAAAGCTTGAAACACAACAAATTTATTCAGTACCAACAGGGACAAGAAATACTAATTGATGAGGGTGAAAAAATAGCATCAGGAGGCCAACTTTGATGATCGAGATCTGGAAGTATCTCAGTAGAGGCTGGGAGGTTCGCGTTTGCCACAGCTTCAAGGGAGGGCATCGCTGTGCAAATTGGCTTCAATGATGGACATGGTTTGGAGTCAAGGACTCCCTCCTTTTACCAGAGGGTTTCTCATCTTTGTTGCTAGCGGAAGAGACTCTTTATTAAATTCAGATTAATAAAGCTAGGCCAGAGAGATAGGCATTTTAACTGGACATTTGGTGGTCTGTTTCTGTGGGTTAGGAGGCTCGAAATAGACGGGCCTCATTTTGTTTTTCTCTCTGGAACATATCATGGTGCAGCACTTTTTCCTACTGTATCGGGCCTCCTCTGAAGGGTGAATTATGAAGTCTGTTCACCTTCAAAATTGTTGTGAAACCATGCCATGAGAAACTGAATACACGCGCACGCAGTAGCTGTTCAAGGAGCAAAACATCCCAGCAAGAAAATCTCACACACAATCGAATTGTTTGAAGACCAACGGCAGATGCAAATGAGTTCCATGCACGTCGGGAAATTATTACGAGTCATGCTTATCGACCCGCATTTTCAAAGTGATGGTCCGATGGTGAATTCCACATGATTTCTACATCGGCCCTACCGAATACATCCATCGACTTGGATCGAGTAAAAGGATAGTCATAATTTATCAACTATGAAACGGAAATTAGTTGGATAACCGAATTGTATATCGTGTTATAACTCCCCATCAACTGCTACTTGTACTTTGTAACATAGGGAAAGGATCTACATATTCAATCGGGGAACCTAGACACTGCAAGGACCAGGCCAGACAATCCATCACGAGGCTCAAATTCCACACACAAACTATCCTCTTGTGCCGAAAAGACACGAAATGGGAATGGGATAAGTTTGGGCCACATTAGCTTCTACCCTCTGGCCTCTACCCAGCCAGAATTTACAACAAACTATAGCGGTTGGTTTTTGTTGACATTGGGGCCACAGCTACTGCTGCATGGGGATGGTAAATTGGAAGCAGTTTTTGCATTGCTGGAAATGCCAAGACACAAGGCTTCAGCTAATGGTCCACCAGGTGGTGAAACCATCCATGAACCACCATGACTCATCATCCAATGAGGTCTCAAGCCACTAGCTCTCTGATGATCTCTATCTGATGATCCCATGATCCCAAAACTACTCAGTTGAGCACACCCATTTCCTTCATTATTAGTTTCACTTCCAGTGCCAGATGACATTGACAATGTAAGAGCTGAATGTGGCAATACTAACTTCTCACTTGAAGAAACGTAACTTTTTTTACCAATCCCACCAATGTCGTCTCTCCCTGAATTAGTTGACCAAGCATCAATGAAGTGCCTTGTCTCTTGTTCTTGAGTCAGGCTAGGACTTAAAGCCCTCTCCGAAGTAGTTGATGTGGGACTTGATAACACGCTGCAATAATCATTTAGCCTCTGAGCTTGTAATGAATAGCCACCTCTATGTGTATTTGAGCAAAGCGGCTGCTCCTCTCTATAAAAGTTGTACACTTTGCAATTACCCTTGATGCTGTCTCTCTTCAAATGCTGCCATTCTTGGCTGTAGTTACTGGCAACGGGTAAAATCTCACCTTTCAAGAGCCATTCCAAGCTCCTTCACGGGTTAAAAACATATCATCAGTTATTTATTATACAGCACAAAAGAGAAAAAAGACACCAACTTCATGTTAATGAATAATGGATAAGAACAAAGGGTGTGTCACTTATGAAAGTGAAATTTGTCAGGCAGCGTAAAAGAGGTCTGTTCAATGCCTGGTCCTAAGATTCACAACAATTTATTAGAATATTAAAGATCATAACTCTCACCTGGGCTGATCATATGAGCTGGCAGAAGAGGCCATGGCGCTAGAAAACATAAATAAATGGCTTGGAAAGTAAGGTTTTTGATTAAACAGGTGTGGATTAGTGGAGTAATTGTTATTGGTGATGTTGGTGTTAGTGTTATTGTTGGTCAATGTCCTCGGGGAGTCATGAGCGTGTAATTCCACAGGCTTTCTTGAACGGGGACGGCTCTTATGAGAGTGCCTTTCACAGTATTTCTGGTCAGGTGCCACATCTCTTGAACACCTCCATTTTTTCCCATCAGTTCTTTTGCATCTCCATGGTTCTGGATCTGATGAGTTCAGGCTAGGAATTCCCAGTTCTAGTGAACCTGTTAACACTAATAAACATGTAAAATAAGAGCCATTTGTGATAATTTTAATCTAATATAATGCAGAAAGATGTGAACTTGACAGAAAGACTGTTGATGATATTACTGTTAGACTGTGGAGGAAGGACATTTGATTGATTTTTGGTGATGGGTATAAGGAGTTCAGGAGGGACAGGAACAGAAGCCATCATGTACTTGTAAATCGTGGTTTGTCTTTCAAGTTCTTGCCACTGAGCAGCTGTAAAAAGCACTTTCTCATTCACAGATGGTGTCATTTCTACTGTCACCACAACACAAGCGAGCGCGCACAGCAGAAATTAAATCAATTAGTCTTCCCTGTATCTTTAGATCAAGGAAACAAAAAGTGAAATTAAAAAAGGAGGAGACTTTACCTGAGGAATTGAAGGTAAAAAGGGAAGAATCAGAGGTAAAATAGGGGTACTGCAACGATTTTGACTCTGCTATTGCATCAGGAGTACCAGTCCCAGAAGCAGAGACGGAAGCTACAACGTCGTTTATATCACCAAGACAAGTAACATCGTTGCTTGTGCTATAAAACAGTGGCCCACTACCTCCACCACCACCTCTACAAGAAGAAGATGATAACTCATGAGCTGCTGGTTCATGATCACAAGACATCGCCGTCACTGATCTCTTACCACTACCACTACAAGATTCCAGGTTATCTTGCATCCTTAAACCCAACCCAACATCATCCCTAAACCCACTACTAGTCCTACTCCAACTACTTCTCATAATATTATCAAGAGAAGAAATCAAAAGGGCCAAGGGCTTTTTCACTAGTACGACTTAGACCGAATATAAAAACAATGCTAGCCTTAGAACTCACGCTAGCCGGTGCAAGTCTGCAAATCTCTCTCTCTCTCTCTCTCAGAGCTTGGATTTGCAAGTGTTATTGATAAAGTTATGGTGGAGCGGTGCCGCCATTTTTAGCCACGAGTTTTTTGCTTTGCTTCCTTGGCTTCCAACATTAGTACCCCTTTTGGATTAAAGACAAAAATCCCTTCTGTCGCTGTGTCACTACTGACATAAATATTATAATGTACTTAACAGATAGTTTAACGTTTTCTTCACGTTAAGTTTAACTGCTGAACTAGCCTGGAGAAGGGTTTTTTTTTTTTTTTTACACGCGCACACACACACCACTACTTCAAGACAGGTTATAATTAGGAAATACTAGACTGGGAGTCTGGAACCGCCATCCCTTGTGGGCACATTCAATTTGTTTTTAACATCAAAAAGGAATGGAGTGTATAGTATTTTTTTTAAAAAAAAAAAAATAAGTCGCCACTTGAGTCATTAATTTGATACGTATATAATAATATAATATCAATTAATTTAATAATATAATTTAAATTAAATGTAACAATAACAAATGAATAGTTAAAAAATATTTAACAATAATTAATTAAAACAATAAATTATCAGTACCATACATACAAACAAAAAAAAAAATCATTGAAGACTCAACCATTCCATCTTGGATATTAATTATGATCAAAAAAATTTATCAAGACAGTTGAAATTTCATTATAAAAAGATGCAATATGATATCGAAAGAAGCTGCATGGGTTGCTAGAGCAATGCTTTGAAAAAGCAATTAAACAAAACATAATGAAGTGAGTATTTATTTATATTTAATCAATCTATTTTATTTTATTTAATAATAAAATATATTTTGAAAAATATATTTAATAAAGAATAAAAAATAAAAAGACCCTGAGTAACCCAACAAAAAACAAATGATGTATAAAGCTTATAAAAAACAAAGGTCAATCTCCAATAAAATAAATATTAAAGGATAAAATTGAAAAAATATTTCTTTAAAAGAATGATAAAAAAAAAAAACCACAACAATCTTTAGCTAATCTCCTTAATTTTAGTTAATTTTTCAAACTATAACCCATGAAATTCCAAATATGGACTTAATTAAGAAGTTCAAATCCAAATTAACTTGATGTTAAATGATAAAATTGAATATAAAAAAATACCAAACTAAAAAATTGACCAAGAAAAAAAACAACAGTCAAAAGAACGATGATAAAATATTATAGGAAAAAATGATAGAGGGTGAAATTGGTTAAAAAAAATTATCTTAGATGACATAAACAACAATTAAAATAATGGAGACCAAATCTAACAAATAAAAAAAAATTATATGAGTATGAAATTGAAATAAATTTTGATTTTCATAAATTAGTTCAAATAAAATACACACAAACCAAAAGATCAAGGGCTAAATAAAAAAATAAAAAGAAGTAAAAAAAGAAGTCAAGGAGCTTTATTTGAAATATTGTAAGGCAAGGCATGAAAATAAAGGGAAGGGGAAAAAAAAAGAAAAATAATAATCATTAAAGTCAAACCAGAGCTCTGTATACACGCCACCTTTACATGGAAACGACGATAAGACAAATCCAAAAACACCTCAGAATGGTATTTTTGATAACTGAATCAAGGGAAAGGGGAAAAAAGAAGAAAAATAATAATCGTTAAAGTCAAACCAGAGCTTTGTATACACGCCACCTTTACATAGAAACGACGCTAAGACGAATCCAAAAATACCTCAGAATGGTATTTTTGATAACTGAAATTAGTCATGTGTATCATTCAAAGACAAGAAAGCAGTTGACACACAATACACACCAATAATTTTTTTTAAATGTCTTTAATTGATTAAAAGATAAATCTACACCTAACTTAACCCAATAACAACGAAAAAGCCAATAGAATAATGACAAAAATGCCCTCGGACTTAGGGCATAAAAAAATAAACATCAAGGATAGGGAAGAATTTTTATTGTGCAATTAAAAAGAATGAGGCTAAAACACCCTTTATTGCCACGCGCATATGTATATGATTAAAAATTTAAATTTATCCCTCGATGATATTTAATAATGTATTGTTTTTAATAGTATTTATGATATTTTATTGTATATTTTGAAAGCCAGATATCAATCTTGCTCTAGGTCAAATTAAAAATGCCAAAATGCCATCATTGTAAAGACAACTCTACCCTACATTATTACCTTAAAGCATTTTTAAGGGATGAATTCACCCTTCTCATCCATGGTAAAATATGTCTAGAGAAATAGTAAATTCACCATCCTTTTTAGTTCTTTTTTTTTTATTTTTTTTGTTTAGGGTTTTTTTAATTCTTTTTTTTTAAATGCTCATATAGGAATCAAGTTAAGGGTTAGGGTTAGTATTTTAAACCTAAAAGCTAAAAACCCAAGTTATTATGAGTTATGATGTGTTTGTTATGTGTAAAATATTTTATAAATGAATTTGTTTTACTATGTTTAACAAGTAATGTTTTAAAAAAGTAATGATGATAGAATGATGAAAATAATTTATTATGATGATGATAGTGATGATAGAATCATAACAATAATAATGGTTATAAGTTTGGTAGTAGCAGTGTTAGAGCGGTGATAAAAATAATGAAAGTGACTATGAAGTGACAATAACAATAATGATAAAGTGGTGATAATAAAATTGTGGTGTGTAAATGTTAATAATGGAGTTGGAGAAGGGAATGGTGGTGAGGTTTTGGTGATAATAGTTATTGAAAAAAAATGTTTTAAATGCATTAATGTTTATAAAGTATTTTATGAAATTTTGTTAGTTAAGATATCTTTAAAAAATAAACCAAGTTTAAAGATTAACTATAAAATATTTCATGGAGACAAATTTATTAAATATTTTGATGAGAAAAAAATATAAAAAAATCAAAAAATATTATTCTATGAGATTTTATAAAACATTAAATGAAAATAAAAATAAAAATGAATAATTACAAAAGACCTCCTAACCTTGGTTTGTTTCTCGTTTTTAATTTAAAGATTGAGAAATTACAGTTTGCCTCTTGAATTTTATACATGGATCGACATTTAATATTCTCTAAAAAAAATTATTAAAAAATATTTGATTATTTACATGCTTGCTATGATATTCATTATATATGCATAAAAAATAACAGAATTATCATCTATCATTTATAATTACAATACTATCATCTATAATTTTATTAATATATAGTTTTAAAGCATCTTATCAAACAATCTATAAGCATCATCGTTTTTTTCCCCTACTATATTTGAAAAGAAAGGAATCAAAAGATTCACAATTCTTGTCCATGAATAACATGATTGCCTGTCACTTGACTCCCTAGAGTTGGTGTAAGAAAATAATAATAATAATATTTAAGAACCATATTAAAATTTAAAAATAAGTCAACATATAAATGAAACAAATACCGAGCTCCTTTCTCTAACGAATTTAGTCACACGCGCTGCGTGCACATGAAAGATTTGCCTTCTCAACTTTCTGTAAAATTCGAGGCAAGATGATAATTGATGTGGAAAATTAATAAGAAGAAAAACTTAAATAACAATTTCACCGAAGCATTGGACGGTCCAGTTTTACTTGAAATCTCCCGTCCACGTGTATGTTCTCCATTCGCTGTGATGTACAAGGCGGGAGAGAGCAATTTGTTTTGACTAGAAGGGGCTCTTTCCGTCAAACACGGCGTTAGCTGGTGTGTTCATTGAGAGTCGAAATGCAGAGGGGTCCACTTGGTTTTCGTGGGGGACCGTAGGGAATTTGATGTGATGCAATAACTAAATTATGATGGGTCCACTTTTTCGTTTCCGAGTTAGGTCCCAATAAATGTTTCTATTTCTATGTTTAGGTTTAGAATCCTAGAAATTCAAATTAGACCCCTATTCGATAAATTTAGAGGATCTTATTCATAAAAAGTTTCCAAGAATCTTAATTTGTAACAAAAACGGTGAACTTTGCAAATTTAACAGGTAAGAAAGACAGGAGGTGGTTCCTCAGAGCCAAGGCAATTTTTAACATCAACAAAATACCAACCTGAATTGGTGACCACATCCTTTTACACTTTGTTTTTTAGAATTTTTTTTTTAATGTTTTAATGGCAAAAATAGATTTTTTAAATTTAAAAATATTATTTTAATACATTTTAAATTTAAAAATATTTTAAAAGATAATTATTACTGTAATGCGAAGACTACCAAAGAAATATAGGTAAATATTTTAATTTTTTTTTAATGTTTTTATATCATTTGGAGGTGTTGAGTCAAAATTAAATTTTAAAAAATAAAACAAATATTATTTTAATAGATTTCTAAATAAGAAGTATTTAAAAAAAACAATTAATATTATATTTCTAAACAACTCAAACTCAAGAGGTTAGTGAGAAAAGAGATGCTCTCAAATAATTTTTTTTTAAAAAAAAACTCTTCAAAACTCAGATGTAATGTTGGAAAGTTCTGATAGCTGTATCTGGCCAAACACTTAATTTCAGGACTTTTTCTTCAAATTATAAAATTGATTAGATTGTGCCCAACATCACCTAATCAGGTACCCCCTGAAAACCCCATGCAACCTTATCAGAGAGTTTTATCCTTTAAAAAATGGAAAGGAAAGAAAAAAAAACACAAACTAAAATTATACTGAACAGATTAATTCGTCAATACACTTTATATATATATATATATATATATATATATATATCCTTTTGTGAAGTTCTTCTGATAATTCAGTAACATGTTATTCTAAACAAAAGCTATTGTTATCATCAGTATTATTATGTTTTTGTTAAATTCCAATTCTCCAGGTAATAACTTTCACCGTGTTTAAAAACAAAAAAAATCCAGCATCCTAAACACCTTGCATTATTCCATTAACCAGAGGATGCTCCTGTGATGCATTACCCAAATTTGTTTTTCCACTGGACGAACACACACAGAAAAAAGGGCCGGCAAAAAAGTTTCATGGGCCTAGTGGATGGAGCTCTTATTTTGGTTTTTTTATTATTATTATTATTTAATCTATAATACAAACTTTTTGGTGAAAATTAAATATAATTAAATAAAAATTATAGTTATTAAACCCGACCTAGCTTGACAGGTTAACTCAATATCTAGATGATTGAAGGTTTTGACTAGGTCTATTTCATTTAAAATCCACGATAATAATTGGCCTAAAAAAACTGTTTGACCCACCGGATCAACCCGAAACCCAGAAGACTAGACAAAACCCAATAGAAACCAATTTTTATTTTTTTATAAATGTGTTTTTTCTCCTGGCTAGCTAGAGATATTTATATATATATATATATATTTTAGTTAGTTATTAACTTATTCCAAAGTTCATTGTATACTAAAATAATATTTTATTTTTTTCAATGCGAGATTTAAAGTTTTTTAGTATATATACTCTATATTCACAAGAAAAAAATATGTTTTTATTTTTTCAATGTGGGATAAAAAAATTAGTTTAAATACTACAACTTGAGATGATAAGATAGTATCTTTTAATGTATGATAAAAATCCTTTTGAAATAATCTTTTAAATTTTTTTTATTTACAAAATGTATAGTCTATATTTACATAGATTATTTCTTAATCTTTTCATATGAAATATTAAAATTTTAAATATTTTTTATTTTTTGCAGGTTGACTCGAGTTAACACATGTAACCCGCAACCTGACTTCTTGGTCGGGTCAACTCTCGGGCTGAGTTTGATAACTATGGTAAAAATGAGTGTTTATTATTGAGTTGTTACTATTCACGTATTCCCAAAACACTATAGATATACTATGTATTTTTTTAAGAATTTATTTTGGTCTTTAAAAATTTATTTTGTGTGGTTTCATTCTAATTAAAGACCAATTGCTTCTAAATTATCAGTCAATGGTTAAATTGAAAAAAGAGAAAAAAATAAAAAAGACATCAAATATGGATGGCGTGCCATTGATTAAATGAAAATACATACAGGTCTTTAATGTTTAAAAATAACACAATGTATGCAATTTAGATTTCCTTGAACTTTGAAAAATAAATTTTCATATATAAATTTATTTGTGTTATTTTTCAGTACTTGTTAGAGAGATAAAAAAGAAAGGGCTTGTTGAATTCGAATGATGAGAGAGAAAGTCATTGTTTACTCTATCTTTTGCTACTAAAATGAGTTTTTTTGATGTTTAAGAGCTCCATAAAATGAGATGGGCTTTCGTGGTAGTTAGTAAAGGAAAAATGATTTTAGTGTCAACTAATTTCATTAAAAAAAAAAAGAGTTTAGCCTAGGTGTTTTTTGGTTTTAACTTTATCTGGGTGGTAGATTTGAGCTTATTTTTTTAGGTAGATTTGGGTTTTTTTAGATTGTTTAAGGCTATAAATAGACTTTTTAAGATATATACGGTGCTTTAAAGTGCTTTTGAGTCAATAGACTGTTGAAAATAATTGTTTTGGGTTTAAAACACTAATGACTCAACTTTTCAACAATCACTGGTTATTGGAGATATGGATAGAATAGATCACATGTTATTTACAATTTTTAGAAATAATTCAAGTAGTTTGCCTCATTAAAAAAAGAATTAAATACACTTGGGCACCACATGAACTTTATATATATATATGTGTGTGTATATATATATATTTTTTTTCAATTTAATCCTTCACAGTTAAGGTTTTATTGATTTTTTTTTTGCTTAATCTTTTTCCAATCTCATCATGTAATAATTTGTTGATTTTTTGTTAGGAAATATAATTTTTTATAGTTTGATATTTATAAGTTTATTATAATCTCAAACAAATAAACGTACTGATATTTAATTGGTTCTCAATTTTACAAGTGTTAATTTTAAATAAAAATAATTAAAAAAATTATTGAACCAGATCGAATTTATAATCTAAATCAATTATTTAGTTTGTTAACTTTGGTAGGCCAAAAATCGAGTGTATAATTTTTTTAATAATAATTTTTTATTTTATTTTATTTAATTAAATACATGCATCAACTTTTCATTTTATAATTAAGATGCATAGAAAATATTGTCATATTTACTTATTTGTATTAAAAAAAATATAACCCAGAAGCAAATCAAAAATCATATGGACAATAATTCACTCATTGTTTGAGTCCAGAGTAGGAACTCATTAACCCAAAATCCGAAATTAATTAATTAACTCCTTTAGTTAATTTTTTTTTGGCGGTAAATTAATTAATTAACACAAAATATAGCATTGATAATTATGGATTTAATAGGCTTCGCGGCCCAAGACTGTTTAAAATTTTCAGATTTGCTGGAAGATCCAATGGATTCATGATCCATCCTCGGGCCTTTTTCATCTCGCTAGGAGGAAATCTGCCTTTCCAAATTACAGGGAAGGAGTGCCTATATTTAATTTTTTTTTACTTTAAGTTTTAAGAGTCCATAAACAGGAAATTTTGTTTTCTTAAATTCACATAAAAAAAACATAATTAAAACTGTTATAAAAAAATATGTATTGATATATAAAATGGTTTAAGGATACACTTTACAAAAAAAAAAAGTTTTTGTCAATGAAATTATTGTTAAAAAATAAGAAAAAAAGAAAAGAAAAGAAGTTTTTGTCAGTGAAATTATTGTTAAAAAATAAGAAAAAAGTCTAATAATCTAAGTTGAACTTCGGCTTTTGTGTACAGTCTATTTAATTCTACTAAAAATAACGTCTTTTTACATCTAAATAAATTGCACATAGCTTAAAACAAGTATTTTATAAAATATTTTTTATTTGAAAATTAATTAAAAAATATTTTTATTTTTTAAATTTATTTTTAATATCAACCCAACAAAATAATTTAAAAATATAAAAATCTATTAATTTTTAAAATACCAAGTTTTTTTTTTTTAAAGCGTTCACCACGAAATCAAGTTTTTTTTTTTTTTTTAAAGCGTTCACCACGAACACAAGCTATGTCTAAGAAGACAAAAGGCCAAAAATCCCTTTTAGACTTTGAACCTCTAATGGTAAATTATTGAAATTTAGGCATTTTAAATTCAAATCAAATCACTTCATGTTTTTTTTTTTCTAATGTCAAATCTAGTTAAAATAGAACGTTTCCTTTTACCATATTATCTTCCAAAAGATCTTGCTCCTTTTCATTCATGTCAATCTCCACTGTTTGCATTAAAAGTCAAGCATGTGCGCAGTGCAATGTGGTAAGATTCCTTCATAAAATAAAAGATGAGCCTCTTTGAGAGGCTTAGACAAGATGACAAAAGAACAGAAAATTATTGTACACTTGCCCAGATCCAAAGCAACCCTTTTCTACTTTCATGAGCTTAAGTATTATTAGACACAAAAGTAAAACTCATGTTGTGTACATCATCAGGACTGATCACACTCTCTCAACACTAACAAGCCCACAAAAACACATGAGGTACTACATGTTAGTGTGTAGCAACCCATTTGAAGGAACAAAAATTACGAAGATATACAGAATTGACAGTGATTACAGATTAAGAGAGCACAAAAAATTAATCAAGCACAAAAAGAAGTGAAGAACAATTAATTATGAAATAATAAGATTGTTGGATCTGATGGGGCTTTTTTGTTTCAAAAGAATCCTTAGCTGTGCCTTTTGACACTCCAGCTTCGTACCCCAATGCCTGTTTTTGGATCCTATTGCTCGAATCACTCTTGGGAATTCAACAAAGCCTTTGATCCCTCTCTTGATGTGAGGATTCTCAGGCTCTGGTGACGCTCTACTTCTCTGAATTACCATTGATGAAATGCTACGAGATTTGTCATTGAATGATGACATTTCACTCAAGATCACCCTTGTTGATTCCTTTGAATCAGCACCACTGTTGTCGTAACAGGATTTTTCACTCAAAACTAACCTGTTTAGCTTGCTTGGCAAAATAGCTGCGGCCTTGAAAGGAGTTGATATTTCAGCTTCTTTATCTTCTTGATACTTCTGTTCCATCCTGGAAGCTGAATTGTGATGTCGTTCTGTCTGTGTAGTTGTTCCTCCCAATTCTAACAACTTCTCTTCAAAGAGCATTCTCGCCTCGGCGAGCTTCATTTGAACTCTTTCTTCTCTTAATACCTCAGCCATTCTTAGCATCTTTCTTTCCTCCTCCATTTCTCTCTTCATGTGATCAATCTCATCTTTATCACAAGAAATTTCTCTAGCAAGCTCTTCACAAACTCTCTCAAGTGCTTCTCTTCCTCTTCTCTCTTCAGCCAGTTCTTTAGCCAATCTCTTACTCATAGTCTCCAACTTCTTACGTGCCTTGCGTTCATATTCAAGCTCAGCTTTCAAGTCCAGGATCTGTGCTCGAGCGAAATCGAGCTCGGTATCCATGATAGGTCTAAAGAAGGTGAGATCCCAGAAAGAAGCTGCGATCTTGCGAGCTGAAAGAGGGAGGTGTAGGTGATGAAGATGTTTGTTACTTTGACAATGTTGTTGGTGTTGATGCTGGATATTATGTTGTGAATTATAAAATGGATTCTCGTACAATTTCCAGCTTGTGCAAGTGGTGGTGGTGATGGGGTCTTGAGGACTGGATTCATTCATGGAATGGTGTAGGCTGCCCATCATCATCACCTTCACTTCTTCCATATATCTTCTTCTCTGCTTTCTTGATGAACCTTTTATTTTTCTCGGTAGCTTTTTTCTCCTTTCCGCTTTGCTTTCCTTTTTTCTAATGGGGGTCTTCTAGGTCAAGAAAGCAATTGGGGTAGGTCCATTTATCCTTCATTGAACTTGCTTTGAAGATGTGGTTTGTAAAAGGTAAAGGGGCATCACATGCACCTCATCTTAATCATAACTAGCTATCCTAGAGGTGGTCATGGCTCTAAATCATGGCTTGATGATCAGTTCACATCTCTGCCCATCTCTTTCCATGTGTGTGCATGCCATAACTTAATAGATCTGTTATGTTTTGTTTAAGGCCGACCCCTTTATTTCAGATAAAATGTGGTTTTGGTTTTCCCAGAAATTGCAAAACCAGATACCATATTTGGTGTTTAGTCCCTGGAATTGAAACATGATTTCAACGAGGGTGATGCTTTTCAGTTTTCACCTGCTAGAGTAAAATTTGACCTGTTCTGGACTCTGCTTTACAGTATTGTATTCACTTCATAAGTGAATAGACAGGAAAATTTGACTAACTTTTGACTATTCTAAGCACTCTCTTATCATAATGTCACAAGTTACGTTAAAAAAGAAGAAGCTAAGTGAGCTCTCTTGTTGCATAATAAGCTCTGTATCAATGCGATAATCTCTGATTTCCCAGAACTGTTTGGCCCTGTTTGAAAAATAACCATAAATAAACTATCAAAATGAATAAGGTGAATGTGCCTGGCTAGTAAACCAGCCGGCTAAAGCTCCACATCCTGTCTGAGCTCAGGGGCCCTATCTAGCTGGAGCACTTAACCCTTCTGAAACTGGGCTTTCGGTTTCCTGATCCAATGCACGAATATACGGAACCAAAAGCTTGCAATTTGCAGAGTGCCACAGCCCTAAATAAAGATTTCATCACATGGTGTGTTTGTGAGTGTATGACTCGTACTTTCTAATGTGTTAAAAAAAGTTTTAAGTCGCAAGGAGGCATGCTTTGATGATAAAGAATTTGAAATTTTTATAGTAGTTTCTGAGTTTAAGTTAAGATATGTATTTTTTGTAAGAGTTTGAAATAACTAAAATTTTACCTATTTATTTATACTTTAAAATATATTTTAGAAATGATTTTCTTAAATAAAAAAATATTATTTTTATAAAAAATATTAAATAAAATAACTAAAATTTTACTTATTTATTTATACTTTAAAATATTATTTTTATAAAAAATATTAAAACAATATTTTCATCACATAAAAAGTGTGGACATACCAGACACGGTACACCATTCTAATCAATCTTCGAACACTGAGATAAGGACTGATCTTAGGATCTAAAGGACTACAATCCCACATTTATATTCGGTCAATGAAGACCTCAGGAGACAGTTTAACAACCAAGATTTGGAACTTCTACATCAAGCTGTTTGGTTCAAACCCTAAAAAAGATGGTTGAATGTCATAATGGTTATGTTTTAAAATATTTTTTATTTAAAATTATATTAAAGTAATTTTTTATTTTTTAAATTAATTTATAACATCAACACATTAAAACAATTTAATATTATTATTATTAAAAAATTATTTTTAAAAAAAACTCGGTAACACTACGAAAACAATAACTGCCTACCTTAAGGAAGAAACTTACGTTGTTCTATGAAATTATTGCTTTATTAGGTTGCATTCAGAGGATCCACGCTAGACGAATATCCATATATATATATATATATCCTTGCTCAAGGGTGTCCACTCCTCTGAAAAGTTGACTCAGAAAGGACACTATAGTTAACATGGAGGCCCCGCTGATCATCTATCTATTCAATCTTCAGGTTCCACATGGATGCCTTTATTCATCATGTTCTTTCCTCTGTCCCTTTCCTTCTGCTAAAAAATATAATCTCCCAACAACCGCAAATAGACTAAACTATTCCTCACTTCATTGGTTTTCAACATAGTTTCAATTTAGTCCTTCATGTTAGTAAACCTATAGCTTAATTCCATAAGTACCATTTTACAATTTCAATCCTTGGAAAAAAAATCAGTGTGGTGAGAATTTAGATAAATACCAATCTATTTATCTTATAAAAGGCTACGTCAATAGGATTAATTCTATGGGTCTTCAAACATAAAGGATTGAGATATAATTATAATCAAAACCCTGCAACTAAAGAATAATCCACTCCAAAAATATAGATCATTCTTGCATTAAACCAAAAAAACTAAAAGAGCTAAGCAATTGGCTGTTTGAATTGTTGTAGCTCCTCACCTCTCATTGCATTGGAGGTTCGCATGGTATAATTTTTTTTCATTCATGTAATTTTTTAATATAATTTGATCTTTTAATATTGAATGTGATTTGTTCTTACTAGCTCCTTGTGAATTTCTCCCGGAGTAAAAAAAAAAATCATTCCGTTGGATTGGCACTTGACTTTGCAAAAAAAATATATGATTTTTTTTTGTTTTTAAAAAATTGAAAATGAAGGGACTATAATTGAAAATTAGGAAAAAAATGCAACCCTTTTAATCTATGAAGGGAATTAAAAAAAAAAAAAAAGAAGCTCGACTCCGGTGATATTGAATCAGACCTTTGGCTTTAGCTGGGCACCTTGGAACTAGGATGTGAAGCTGTGAACAAATAGTCTCTTGTTAGACTGCTCTGGCTCGGTACTATGTCGATTAGGTCTGAGGGTTGTTCCATCCACTTGGTCTTCTTTGTACCCAGAGAAAGGAGGAGATCGAATTAGCTCTGCTAAGGAATCGAAAACATCCAATCTGCTAAGAACAGAACATAAATAAGATATATAGCGCCCTAATCCTACCTTGCTCAGAGAAAGGCAAATGGAAAGCAAGATAGCTGGCATTTTAAGAGATCCGAGGGAGAGGAGGATTGAGGGAAAAAACTAGATGCCAACGAGAAATATAGAAGATATTATAAAATTTGATTAATTCTTTTACAAGTTAAAGTAATTTAATGAATAATTAAATTAAGATAGTTTGTTCTTTCTCATGAACAATTGTTGAAATCATAAGTTAAATAACTTTATTTAAATCAATTAAAAATATCTTAAATAAAGCTAAAAAAATAAAAAAATCATAAATCAATTAAAAATATCTTAAAAAAAGCTAAAAAAATAAAAAAAATAATTTTAAATAAAAAAATCATAAATCAATTAAAAAACTAATATAATTTTTGTATAATAATTTTTTTTTTATCTTTTTACAAGGCTTTCCTAATATTCAATCACCTAAAATTTTAATCGATATAAAATAAAACCTTTAAAATATTATGGTAAAATTTCATTTAAATTCAATAATTAAATAAAAAATATATTGTGTATTATGAAAAATAAGTTTAAAATCTGTTTATAGCTTCTAAAATTAATTAGTCTATGGACGAAACCTCTTGTATATAGATTACATTAATTCAAGCCGGATTATCACTCGTTAAAAATATAACCATTTTAAAATTTACTTTGATGTAAATGCTGTGAATAATCCCATTAAAGATATCTTTTAAGTTTCTTTCTGCTCTTGTTAAAATAATCGGTCACCAGAAATTTCTAACGGATCATTGATGGAGTTTAGATAACATGATTTTGGTTCAATGATTGCATAGCACAAAGGGAATCAACCTTTCCTCCTAAAACCTAATTAAAGTAGCGGCAATTGCATAGACGAGAGAATTTGCTAAGCCAGAGAGACAAGTTGGAGTGGTCAACTCAGTTTCATTTCGATGCCAATGTCCAATAAATGTGGACGGTGCGAGGATTTAATGCTGTCGTAGCTTCGAGACAACATTTTATAGGCAGACAGAAACTTACCTGGCTGCATTCTTGAATCTGGACAAGCAGTACTGTCTCCCCCCTCTGTTGTCCTCGTGATCATATGATATTTTAAGGATATTTTTCAAATATTGATACTAAATTACTCCCTTCAAGCAGACCCTCCATGTTATGCTGTATAGATTTATAGTTTTCTCATGGTTCTTTTAAATTTGAATTCCGAACGATATCAGGAAACGTGCTATGGATCGATGCAGTTTCCGCGCTTAATATTTGGATTAAGCCTCCAAGGATACGTGATGTTAATTGCTTGCTCCAGTAAGATTACCAAAACTGTGATCTCAAGATTAGTTAAATGTTGTTTTTTTAGATTAATATGGATATTTAAACTAGTTTATATATATTTTAATTAACCTTATAAATTTTAAAATTAATAATTATATAAAATTTTAGTAATTCTAAAAAAAATTAAACTTATAATCATCAAAAACAAACTCAAAAATATGATTAATTAAATTACCTTAGGATTGTAAAATGTCTTTTCTTAATTTTGTTGGTTGTCCTCTTGCTTCTGTATCAATTGAGAAACAAACCATTGTAAAAAAATATGTTAAAATTATTCAAAACAGTAATTCTGGGTTTTACTGTGTCCTAACACATAGAATACTATGTATCCCTTAGTTGTTTTATCTTTCACCTAGGAATATGATGGTTTTTTTACCATGATATAAATATTTTTTGAGGATTATATAAGGTTATTTTGATAATTGAATTTTTAAATATACAATAAAATTACTAAATTTAATCCTATAATAAAATAATTCAATATCTTCTGGATAATAATGTTTTTGTATTTTTATCTTTTGTAGACAAAATTGTAATTTCTTGTTAATATTGTTTAGTTTTAAGAGCATTTTTTATTTTTGCATAAAAATACAAAAAAGGTATTAATATGTGCCTTGCACACGTCACTGCATCGATCGCTACGTTGCCTTTTGGTAGTGCATATGACTGGCTTTAACGGTTATAACCGTAATTTTGCCACTCTATGTGATTTGTCCCAGCATTCTTTTTCTTTATAGCTAGCGTGTGTATAGTGGTTTGGTGTGACGTGACTTGAACTTGCTTTTCTTTTATTTCTTGTTTTTTTTTCTCTTCATCTTTTCCTTCAATTTATTTTTTCTTTTGATTTAGTCCATCTTTTCATATTTGTAATTGTTTTACTTACACTGATTGTTTCTAATCGAATTTTATTTTTTATTTTTTATTTTATCCTTGATCATTTAATTTTTTAATTTATTTTTAAATTTAGTCCTCATTCTTTTAATTTCTATTTGTCTTGTTTTGAATCATTTTCTCAACTGATTTGTTTTTTTTCAATTCCACCCCCAAGTAGTTATTTTCATTTAATTTTTATGTCAAATCCGATTCTAATTTTTTTAATTGTTATTTTTAATTATTTTTTTACTAGATTTGTTTTGTACAATTCCATCC